TTTTTTTGTGGGGCTATTTGAAATCGCGTGTGTACACAAACAGACCAGGTGATTTGGAAGAACTTAAAAACCGTATTCGTTTTGAAATAAATCAAATCGACCCGGGAATGCTTGAACGAAGTGTAGACGGCGTTTACACACGCTTAGGACAATGCCAAATGGTACAGGGTGGGCAATTCGAACAATTTCGCTAGACTTACACAAACATTAGTGTAATTTTACTCGTTTGAAATGTAATTTTGTCAACTTTGTCCTTTTCGGAGCCATTAATAGTGTAAGTAGACAATTATCACTTATAAGAACTTAAGGTGCATTTTTCTAAAAAAAATTGTTATGTAAGACATCGAAATTTTCACACCGTTGTTTAGATAATTATCACTGTCATCAATTTCGAACGAAAAAAATATGCGTTGTCATTTAAAACAAAAATTATGTCATCGCTGCCGTAAGTGGATTATCGAAAAAAAATCAAATAAAAATCGACGGGTCTCACCGTTTTTCGAAAAAAAAAATTGTTTAACGAAAATATGAATTTTATGCAGAACTTTTTTACCACGCTGTATATTCGTGAAGTCTTGGTGTTCCTATACGTTTCTAAAAAAAATAACAAAATAACTTCTGCTGTTTTGGGGAAACAAAATAACAAAAACACGATGCAATTTGCTATAAGGTTAAGGATTTTGAACAGGATTTATTATGAAGAATTTATTTTTAATTATAAATTAAACTTTTGAAAGTTTGAGTTTTTTAGGGGAACAATTAACAATTGGGTCAGATGGGTTTATTTTATCAAATTGCAGAAAATATTGATTCTGCAGAAAATTTACTTTTTCTCAGTTTTGAGAACTGATAATTTTTTATTATGGTAGTCACTATAAAAAATATGTACTTGAATTCATGACGAAATACGTTCAATTTATTATACATCAGTTTTTTGATGGCCAATCACTGATTCATCATCACAATCCTCAAAAGAGTGGATGTACTGACCATAACGTTTGTTTATAGTAGATACAGATCTAATCACCTTATTGTTTTTGTAGACATGTTTATACGTATTCTCGAGTATATTTTTAGAGTACTTAAACAAAACAATTAGATAAAAAATATAATTCCAAATATGATGTTTATTCTGTATAGTGTTTTATATTTTATGGACATTCTATATTATCAATTTGTAATACATCAATTTTAAAACAAAAATAATTATAAATATCTAATATTTTATTTAAAACTTAAATAATCCCCATTTTATAGTATAGGTATTTATTTTTTATTTTAATTTCAGATTGTTTACAGTAACTAAAACACTTTTGCAAAAGTATAAATGTATCACATTGTGGAATTATTACTAGATACTATTTCACATGTTGTGAAAATACAGAAAAGCGACACGGCAGTATGGCAAAAATATATTTAAAGGGACAGAAACGTCACACTGAAAATTTATAAAAACTTTGTGAATATGCTAAAACACTTCTTTGCAACAAAACTGTAAATTATATCAATAATAATCTGTAATAAAATACACCAAATTACAAATAATTGTCTTCAGTGCACTTCAATATCGGGTGTTCGTCATCTTTGTTTACTGTAAATTAAATAATCTGACAAAATTCTTGATCCGTATTTTTTTTTATTTTTGCAGTACGTCATTATTTTACTGCTAATTAACAAAAATTAAACGAAATTGGCGGTCAGCTGTAAAGTGCTAAACTATGCCTTAATTGCGCCCTCTGTTAATAGGAAGTTTAACTAAAAGTTTATATTATTATCCGTCTTCTTTTATTTACTGATAGAGAGACAGAGAGGAGTTACATAAAGAAGTTCTCTGTGATAACATGTCTATAGTTCAGCACGTAAAGAGTAACTTTTGTTGTAGAATAATATTCGATAACAAAAGAATTCACATTTTTCTATGCAAACACCCCATTGTACCGATGACCTCAAAGTTTCGTTGCCTCATTTATTTCCTGGTTTTTCAAGAGCTTGACAAGCAAGCAGAAGCGAAATGTAAAATAATTGTAGAAAATGTAAAAGTATTAAAATTTTCCATTTTCTATAGAAGACAATTTGTAGAATATTTCATTCTTTCAAAATGGAGCACTTTTTATTATTAGTGTTTTTAAAAACATCAGTTTCATCAGAAACCCCATCCGGTATAGATGTGGATCACATGGAAGTGGGTTCCAATTGGGGCCTTTGGGCAAATAAAATACTAATGTCTATACAAACTGACAATAAGCCATTACAAGGATAAGTATATACAATGATGTCTATTCAAAAATAATTGTCGAATATTCAATGTTCTTAACGTTAAATACAAAAATTATATACAATTAGTAAACTCGAATTATAAGTAGTGTGTTTTTTGTAATGTTAGATAAGTATGACATGAGTGACATGACAATATTTTGCTGATGACTTGTGGAAAATTTATTTTTGGTATTTATAGAAATCGCTTCAAAATTTTCCTAGTAATTGGTTTTTGAGTTAATCCATGCAAAATGCAAATCAGTCAAAACCACTTTTAATTAAGTGCTGATATAATAATCTTTCTATTGTATGTTCATTATAAAAAATGATTATTATTATTATAAAGATAAAGATAAAACTAGGAGTACTACAAAAAAAGTGCGAAAGTCAAACACCTGATTTCTGACCAAATAAAAAAAAACAATTTCAGATTCTATAAATTGAAAAGCAAATTCGTTATCGCTATTAGTTCAAAATGATGAAGTGCAACGGGCTGCTACTGATTTTATGTGCATTAAGAACATCTGTAGCAGATGTAAGTAATTATTATAAATATCAAAGTTTTGTAAATTTGAAATGTCTTCCTTATGTACAAAATAGTTATTAATATCTATGTATCTAGTTAAAGTACCACAAATATCACATATTTCTTCATAAATAGGTAGATGACCCGACACTTGTCACTTTACCAGAGGGACAAATAAGAGGTCAAGCCCTGCAGTCTCCAAACGACAATGTTTATTATGCATTTCAAGACATACCATACGCAGCTCCACCTATAGGCGAATTAAGATTTCAAGTAAGGATAAAAACGTATGTATTTTTTTACTTTTTAATTTTAACGTTTCAATTCACTTTTAGGCACCTGTAGCGCCAGCAAAATGGGAAGGAATATTAAACACCACGAAAAATGAAAAAATATGTTACCAAAGTGGAGACGGCTACGTACCGATTCCCGGATTAAACCCAACGGAAGACTGTTTGTACTTGAATGTTTACACTCCTCTGGTGAGAACAGTAACAATTAGCCGATTCTTCAGTCTTATTAATATCAAGAATTTTGGACATTGTTATCACATTCTTTTTGCCGATGTATATCACGATTACTATTAGTTGGATACATTAAAAAAAAATTATATGTATAAACAATTATGAGCTTAAGGAGGGGTGCATTCGTGGCCAAAAATATTTACTATTGATTTAATAGGTAATAAAGTTGTGCAAAAATGTGATTGATACAGGTGTACCTCCAATAATATTATACGCCTCAAAATATTGCAGTTGCAGTTACTTTACTGTCTTTCTTCAAACATTGTCATTATCGATGCATATTTTCTTTTAGAAACCTGGAGATACTTCACAAACCCCATTATCGGTGTTAATATGGATACACGGAGGGGATTTGAAAATGGAGCTGGTGCTATACAGATATACAAACCTGGACTCTTCATTGACCACAATATTGTTGTTGTCACGATAAACTACCGTGTAGGAGCTCTAGGTAACTAATAAATATGAAACGCTTTTGGTAAAAATAATAACAATAATGGCATCATTACAATTTCATTAGTTAGGGCCCTTAAAAGAGCTAAAAGTTTAGAGATAATGACAACTGAAGTAGTGCAAAATTGGTCAAGTAGATTTTTCGTAAAGAACATCCCCAATCAGGAGGACTATGCCAGTAAATAAGACCAACGGTTTCTATCAGCATTCTTATAATATTTACCTTTTCAGTATAATTAGTCATTTTACAAAAAATTATAAAAACAAATTTGGATACGACAATTTTAACATATTAAGAATTAAGATGAAGTCAGATTTAATGCCCCTTATAATTTTTTCATACAGAGGGCGAAATTAAATAAAAATGAAAAAAAAATCTGAGCTTATTTCAAGAAGTAAAAATAATTATACAATTATTTCTCCAATTGACATAATAAATATTCTTATGTGGATTTTTTCATGACTTATACGTATGACACTTTAGTAAGGGTAAAAAAACACAAACGGATATATGCATATGTATATTATACGAAGGCGGGTCAATAAGTCCGTGACTTTTTAAATTTCCCGCCTCTTAATGGAAATGGCAACACTGCTCCTGTCAACAGGCAACTGTCAGTTGACTCCTGTTTAAATTTGAACAAGCTGCATCATTTAGTTTGTGTTTGACAGCCATTAATAGCAGACTACCGCGCGTTTTGAGAAGAAAATGGAAAAAAGTGAATTTTGTGAGCTCACTCAAACCAAGGCTGAGCTTGATAAATATTAAGGGGACTCTGCATCATCCATTTCCATGGTAAAGAAGTGGTTTACTGAATTTCGATGTGGCCGTACAAGTACGGAAGATGCCGAACGTTCTGGACGCCCAGTTGAGGTCTCTACATCCGAAACAATTGAAAAAATTCACGATATGGTTTTAGCCGATCGGAGATTGAAAGTGTGAGAGATTGTGGAAGCCATAGGCATCTCACATGGCTAAGTGGTTTCAATTTTGAATGATCACTTGGGTACGAGAAAGCTTTCCGCAAGATGGGTGCCGCGTTTGCTCACAATCGATCACAAACACAACCGTGTGACAATTTCGCAGGAATGTTTGGCGTTGTTCAACCGCAATATGGACGAGTTTTTGCGCCGTTTCGTAACCGTGGACGAAACGTGGATCTACCACAACACACCGGATACCAAACAGCATTCAAAACAGTGGGTTTCTCGGGGTGAATCGGCGCCAAAGAAGGCAAAGGTGGGTTTGTCAGCCAATAAAGTCATGGCAACCGTTTTTTAGGTTCCACGCGGTATAATTCACATTGACTACCTTCAAAAGGGGAAAACAATCAATGGTGAATATTATACCAACTTATTGGGTCGATTCAATGAGGAATTGAAAAAAAACAACGACCGCATTTGGCCAAGAAAAAACTTCTTTCCCACCAGGACAATGCAAGGGTGCACACATGTGCAGTTTCCATGGCAAAAATCCATGAATTGGGCTACGAATTGCTCCCTCATCAGCCCTATTCTCCAGATTTAGCCCCGAGTGACTATTTCTTGTTCCCAAACTTGAAGAACTGACTCGGCGGAAAGAGATTTGACTCCAACGACGAAATCATCTCACAAACAAATGCCTATTTTGATGACCTCGACAAATCATATTTTTCGGAAGGGATAAAAAAATTGGAGAAACGTTGGACTAAGTGTTTAGAACTCAAAGGAGACTATGTTGAAAAATAAAATAACTTTTTATATAAAAACCTGTGTTTCATTCAAAAAGTCACGGACTTATTGACCCGCCCTCGTACACCATAGTTTTTAACGCGTGATTGTATGTTTGTGCTTGCAAAACTCTTTCCAAAGTTGTTTAAGGCTCCAATCGAAAATTGATCTTAAACTTTGGAAACATCCAAATTCAGCTTAATATATATAGGGTGTTAATGAAGCATCTGCACACATTTAAGGGACGAATTCAGTGATTTTAGACGAAAAAGGTACATAAACATAGGACCACAATCCACAATTTGGTCCACAATTTGCCACGCTGAGGCGGCCCCTTTTCTATTACTACTACTACTAGGTCCACAATCGATAGTTTTCGAGATACAGGGTGTTGAAATTAAAAAAAAAATCACCATTCTTAAAATATTTCTGAAGGCGTTTGATGCAGAATGTCAAAACAAGTAGTGATAAAATTATCAAAGTATTCATTATCGTCCAATTTATGAGGTTATTAGTGTACGTAATCCCCAGTATCTCCGCCACTGGCACACGTATTTATATCCGAATTCAGCAAATACAAACTTGATGTACGTAAAGTGTAAGACCGGTGGCAATCATATACAGAGAGGACCAGAATGATTGAAGCGTTTGGGCAACGCAGCCTGTTTCTAACACCATCTTTAGCATATAAAAATCTGTAGTATTGACAGAGACAGGAACAGCCTGCGATCTCCAAACACTTCAATCATTCTGAATCTCTCGGTATAATGATTATAATATATTTGAATGTTTAATTCATGATTCACTATTTTCTTTATCAAAAAATCTAAGTTCTCCTTTTAGCAATATTTTTACGTAAGTAAAGAGATGGAAACAAATTTTATGTATGAGGTTCAATTTTAACGAATACAATATATCTTGATTTCACTAAAGCCGGTCCCAGACGATGTGGCGAATGCCTTCCAACGTTGGACACATCGCCATTTGCCACATCGTGTGGACGGACGCTGGCGAATTGCATGTGTACAACGTTGGTTATATGCCACGTTCGGGCTTCTGTCGGTAAATTTAAGCCGCACCAAAGGAGCTTCCAGCGTTGGAAGCATGTTGGAAGCATCGTTCGTCATACACCCACACGAGCGATCGTGTGTTTGACGTATTCCAGGAGCGCCGAAATATTCTACATTCAACTGGTTTAGTATTTGTTTTGTCTATAAAGTGATACTGAATATTATAAATACAGGGTAGCCCATCGAAAATGTACCGCAAGGCATTACAGGGTAGTAAAAACTTTTCGGCAAAATCCAAAAACAGGTCAAATTTGTTTCTGAGGGGGACAACTTTTGGCTCAAAAAGCATACCAAAATCTTCAACACCCTAAGTGGGGGTGCTATCCCCTAAATTTTTTCAAATGGGAATGGGGGTCAAGTGGGGGTCATTAGAAAGGGCTTTTAATTCTCTATACATCGATTCTTACTTTTTGAAAAACGATTCATTATTTTAGAAAATATGCAGCTTTGAAAATACGAACAATATTTTTGACGAGAAATGCGAAAATCGATTTAATTTTACTTCAAAACTTACGGTATTAGTCAAGTAAATGCTGAAAATGTTGTCCGCCAACTTGCATACAATGATACAGGTTGTCTTCAAACCGTTGTCGAACATTCTGGAGCACTTGCGGTGTTACTTCGCGACATACATTAATGATTCGTCCTCGCAGATCTTCCAAGGTATCAGGTGGAGTGCTGTAAACTTTGCTTTTAATGTGCCCCCAGAGAAAGAAATCTAAAGGATTTAAGTCGGGTGACCGAGGGGGCCACTCAATTGCACCTCTTCGTCCTATCCAGCGTCCTGGAAACGTCTCATTTAGGTAATTGCGCACATTGAGCGAGTAATGTGGAGGAGCTCCGTCTTGCTGGAAAATCAGTTCGTGTTCATTGTAAGCAGGGTCGTCCTCTATGATATTTGTTAGAGCTGGGTCGATGACATTTTGTAGTAAATCCAAGTACATATCGCCTGTCAAATTTCCAGGAAGGAAAAAAGGACCTACAATGGAATTTCCAAAAATACCTGCCCATACATTCAACTTCTGGGGGTGTTGGGAGTGTGTCTCATGGAAAATCCTTGGATTGGTATCAGCCCAGTAACGACAATTATGGCGATTCACTAAACCATTCAAGAAGAACGTACACTCGTCCGAAAAACACACATTAAAGAGGAAATTATCGTTTATCGCTCGTTCAGTCATTATTTCGCAAAATTGCAAACGACGATCAAAATCGTCTTCATTTAGCTCTTGCACTAGCCGAATCTTATAAGGATGGAATTTGTATTTTTTTAATATTCGTTGGACACTTGTACGACTCACTCCTGTCGCAGTAGCCAATTGCATTGTACTCAGCGTACTATCCATTGCCACTTGCCCCAATACCGCTATTTCCGTAGGTTCATTTAGTACCGGATTTTCAACCTGCCTCTTTTTGTTATGAACGGAGCCAGTTTCGCGAAATTTGGCCACCAATTCGCGAACAATTTTTCCAGACGCATGTTTCTCAGGATGCCGTTGGTTGAACAGTTCGGCGACCCGATTTCCGCATTCATTGTTTTTGAAAAAAAGCTCAATAATTTCTACTCTTTCTGGAATTGAGTACACCATAATTAATCAATTTAAAAGACTCGGCAGTATTGGTACTCTTCAACTACAAGTCACAAGACAGTTATCTAGCAACTTCTTGTGGCCTATCTAAATACGAAACAAAAAGCGGACAATTTTTTGCTCACCAAAATCAGGC